CTCATTATTGGTAGTTTTTTTACTCTCGTGTTTGTTCACCTCATCAAATAATTCTTTTATGGTGGTCCATGACTTTTCAACATCATCCTAAGTTGCCATTTTACAGAATCTATTGTTTATTTCCTCTGTGTACGCTTCACTTGTTTCATTGTTTTTGAGTTTTCTAATGTTTACTGATGCCTTCTGGTGTTTTCTTTTAGCTGTAGCAAGCCTCAGTTTAATATTTTCTAATAAGGAATTGTGGTCGAATCCTATGTCTGCTCCAGGTAATGTAGATACCTTAGTAGTAGCATTTCTGTATATTCTATTAATTGTCACATAATCTATTTGGTTCCTTATAATGCCCTGATGTCCGTCTAAATGCGACTTATACATGTAAAGCCTCCTGGGTGGTAACGTATACCAAGTATTCGTTATGACTAGATTTTTGTCTTGGCAGTACCGTATCAATCTGTCCTCTCTGTCGTTTCTCTGACCAAGACCATATTTTCCAACTACGTGATCTACGGCTCCTTTTCCAATTTTTGCGCTAAAGTTTCCTAATACGATATTTACATTACCTCTAATATTTACTAAGTTCAAGTTATCAACTTTATCAAATTTTAGATGTCTTTAATGTCTAAATTAATTAGAGATACTTCTTAAACAACTACATCTTGCCTTGGAGGATGGAAATAAATAATGTGTAATAATAATGACCGACTACTGGTCTGTTTACCATGATATATCATCAAGCTGCGACGCCTTGAGTTCCCATTATTTATTATTATTATTGGATAAATTTCTGTAATAAATGTATCCAAGTGTTGCTACGCTACTGGTAGCAATTAACATACGTCTTAAATTCTACCTAGGTAAATTCTCCAGCAAATTCTCATGAAAGCCGAAAATGTATTCAAAAAATATTTTTACAAACAGATTAACTTTCTCCGACCAATTTCCAAAATGTCCTTGTTTAAAAGAATTCAAAAGGTGGGTTTTACCTACTTCTGTATTGAAATATCGAAGTTATCCCCCATCCCCCGCAAATCCCATGCAATAGTCAGGCAGTGAAAATCAGAATTTTAAGTAATCAGTATAAAATTGTATCCCAGCTGAGCTGCTCGCTTCTTGTTTAGAGGTTTAACTCTCGCATATTAGTTGGTGTTAGTTTCGTTTTCGATCAAATTCGACGCATTTCTGGTTTAAGAGTTTAGACTCTCGCTTATTGACTATACCTAGTTATTGTTACATAGCTTTATAATTAAAAGCCGAACGCTCATTCTTAATCAAGTATATTAATATTGAATGAAATAATATTGAAGGAAAACATCCTTAGTTGAGGTGATAATTATTAGTAACATTTTAATCTTTTGTTTTATTAGTAGGAAAATCTAACGACAAAGTTCGTTGCCTTCTGATTTAGGTTGCCGATTTGCTGACTATATAGAGCGGTAATATTGTTATGATTTTCTGTCTGTTAATTTTGTGTCTTTGTGTGGTCAGATGTTGAATTATGTTTTTGGTAGACGAACGTTTTTTGTGGTTTTATTTTTACACAGCCGTTAAGGAAGACTGTGAATATTTTACGATAATATGTGGCGATTTTAATGTCAAAATATGAGTAAAAACAGATCCATCCAGCTAAAAATGCACTTGAAAATTTTGTCATACTGGATATAAACGAAAGGCACGAAATACTTTTTAATTTCCTGTTGAAAAACAATTTATATTTAATGAATAGCTTCTTCTATTAGAAGATCCATAGAGAATGGATCTGGAGGAGCCCCGATAGTAAGACTAAAAACGAGATCGACTTTATTATCACGGACAAAAAACATATAGTTGAAGATGTTATAATCTTAAATCAAGTTTATCGGTCGAGCAAATGGTCCAAGCAACTATAGAAATAAATATTAAAAGAAAAACTGAAGATGATAAAAGTAGAAAATTTAAAACTTGGATACGACCAATAAATGGAGTTGAAAAATGTATCAGCAGTAACTTTCTCAGGAACACAACAAAACAAATGTAAATAACCTAAACGGAGAAATAGTAGTTAGTATATATAGTAACACAAGTCCAAGAAAAGTTCTGCCCTAAATATGAAAAAGAAGAAGAAAAGAAACGAAATAAACGAAGGAAGATTTTAGAGTACTGAAAAGTCAAAGAAATGTTGACCCAGTAGAAATAGATACCATAAATAAAGAAGATATTAGACGCGACAATAGAAAATACAAGAACGAGAAAATTATAAAAACTGCAGAAGGAAACCAAAGCATAAAACCATTTAAAAAACAAAAAAACATAAAGCATAAAAGCATCAAAAATGGCAAAAAGGGAATCTTTCAACTTAAAGACAAAAATGGAAATATAATCTCTGATAGACCAGACTCATTACATATAGTTGAAAGTTTCTATGAAACATTATATCAAATTCAAGTTATTAGAATATTATTCTAATAATATATAGTATAAGAATGTGAGTAGTAATAAGTGACTAGTCAAAAAGATCCACACAACAGAAAACTTCAAGTGTATACTAATTGATTTATCAGATGTCTGAACACATATATATTAATTGATATTTATTGACCCACTTTCGGGAAGTCAGATCGATGTTGCGAGGAAAGCAACTTGCTATCGACATTTCTTGAACATGGAAGTGGTTGATCTCGATTATTTCGATTTACAAAATATAATTCGAGAATTAAGTTAATTCCAAACTTTGTGGTGGCTGGTGAAATCTCCCACGTAAATGGCTGATAACGAATTGAATGGCACTATTAAAATTAAACGCTATACAGTGCAACATAAACATCATTGTAGTGTATGCATTAATATCTGATAGCACAGATGAAGAAGTAAACAGCTTCTACAGTGACTTAAACAAAACATTCAATGACACTAAAAAAGAAGAAGTAAATTTTATTTTGGGTGACTTCTATTCGAAGGTAAAAAAAGAAAGAGATGGAGAAGTAGTAGGAGAACACGGACTGGGAACACGTAATGAAAGATGTGACAAACTAGTTCAGTTTTGCAAAGATAACGAACTCATTATCAAAAACACGTGGTATAAACTCCCAAATCGAAGAATATATACATGGAAAGCACCTGGAGATGATGGTGAAATTATAATAAGAAACCAAATAGATCCGAAATGCCATAATATCGGCTAAGCCTAGGAGCAGATATAACAAGTGACCACAATCTAGTTCTAGCAAACATGAAACTCAAGTTAAAAAAGTTAAAAAGAACTGCCAAAACACCGAGAATCAATCTGAGAAAACTAAATGAAACCGATATATACCAATAAATCAAAGAATAAGTGCACAAAGAAGTTCAGGAAGTAGAAAGACAAAAGCAATTAACAGCAACATATAAATGGGGGAAAGTAGAGGGGATCTTGAAAAATATCACAAAACAAAAAATTTTAAGAAGACATCATCTAAAAATAAATAATGGATCACACTAGAGATAAAAGAACTGATGACGGAAAGTAGGGCACACAAGAATAAAAACGAACAACAGTACAAAAAAATTAATAAAATAATCAAACAGAAAATCAAAGTAGCTGAGGAACTGTGGGAAGAATACATAAAAGAGTTATTCGAAGACGACGAGAAAATTTAGGTCATTGAACCAAAATGAAGATATAGGCCACCAATCACAAAAGACGTATAAAAAACGCTATAAGCTAAAACGTATAAAAAATGAGAAGGCCTTGGGACCAGTTGAAATATCCACAGAAATCTTAAGAGTATTAACAAAAAATCATATGGGCACACTAATAGAATTATTTAATGACATTTATTATACGGAAGAGATTCCGAAAGAATGGTTAATATCAATATTCATTCCAATACCCAAAAAAACAAACACAATGAAGTGTGAAGAGTACATGGCAATTAGGTTGATGAACCATATTCTTAAAGTGTTTTTACGAGTGATACACGAACGTATCTATAAAAAGCTAGATGATAGAATAGCTGAAAACCAATTGGGATTCAGAAAAGGGCTTTGGCACCATACTATAAAGAAAAGAAAAATGAGCTACTTTGGTCACATACTATGAAATGAGAAACACGAATTAATGCGGCTGGTCATTGGCTTTTGCAAGGCAAAAGAGGACCGGGGAGAAGACGCACGTCCTGGATCAAAAATCTGAGACAATGGAGTGGGAAAACGTAAACAAAACTTTTCAAACGGCTGCAGATGGTATCAAATGGGCCATTAAGATCGCCAATGTCCTTAGGGATGGTGCGCGTTAAGAAGAAATGGCTGGTAAAATCTCTTAAATGATTGACATGGTGGAAGTAATCAGTGCAGAAAATGAATGGTCCCTAAACACAAAAAGGACGTTATTTATGGTGTTTACTAAAGCTCAAAAGTGCCAAGAAACCCTAACAATAAAATAAGAATATTAAAAAATTCTAAAGTATAGATATCTTATTATTATTAATGAAAATAATAAGTACGCTAAAGAGATTAAAACAAGAATAGGAAAGGCAAGACATGCTTTAAACAAACTGAAAAGAGTATTCAATGCCGTTCACATTACAGACAGATTGGAAGACTTCAAATTACGGACCTACAACGGCAAATTAGGAATAAGTTTTTTTAATTCGTCTTATTTTATCCAATGTAGAAGAAATTTCAACCTTTGGACTTCTTTTTAATTTCTTTCACATTACAAACACATTGGAAGACTTCAAATTAGGGACCTACAGAGGAAAATTACGAATAAGTTTTAAAAGTTTTTTTAATTCGTCTTATTTTATCCAATGTAGAAGAAATTTCAACTTTTGGTTCTTGTTTAATTTAACTTGGACTTTAATTTTAACTTCTTTTAATTTCAACCTTTGGCTATTAATAATGATTGTTTTAAAGATGAATCAGATTCGATAAAATTTTCAAGCGCACATTGATAAATCAATCATTAAAATATGTGTATAAAAGGATATTTTAGTTTAACGTTGAAATCAATTATTATTAACTACTTAAGATAATAAAACGAGAAAATGATTGTTTTGGCAATAACTTTGTGTTTACTTGTAATATCTGCACAGGGACAAATTCCTGTTGATAAATGTCCAAATGTTAAAGGAGTGGCAAATTTCGATGGACGTGCAGTAAGTTAAATTGTATCTTTAAACAATTACCTTTTTAAATAATACTTAGTATACTCGTGTATAGCTAGCTACAAAACTATTAAATATTTGTTTTGATATATTCATCTTCTTGTCCGTTAAGTTTTTTCTGACAAAAATATTTGTGAGGTTTAAATTATTTAACAATGGAGAGTTATTGAAGAGGTGTTATAGGTCGCCCTGTAATAAAAGTTTATTTTGACAGATACGCATGCCCAGTTTTGCGTCCTTCATTTTTGTCCATTAATAAAATACAGAACGCCTGTATTTAAATTAAATACGAGGTTGGATTGATATAAAACTAGCCTTTGATAGAAAAAAACAAGATTTTTAGAATTAAATAGATTTATTTCTCAATATAGTCCCCTTTTAGCTCGATACACTTAGTAAAACGATTGTTTCAATTTTTTATCCCATTCAAATAGTACTTTTGCTCGATTTCTTGAAATAGTCCGAAGTTTCAGCGACGATTTCATCATTTGTTGCGAAAGGCATCCTCCGAGCTATTTTTTAGGTTTAGAAAAAGGAAAAAATCGCTGGCGGCAAGATCTGGAGAATACGGTAGGTGTTCAACCAATTCATAGCCCAATTCGTTGTAATTTTGCCATGGCTACGGCCGATCAGTATGCCGGTGCATTGTCTTGGTAAAAGAGCACTTTTTTACGTTCCAAACGGAGATTTTTCGACGCAATTCGGCATCGAATCGATCCAATAATGCTGCGTAGTACTCACCATTAATTTTTTTCTTTTTCCAAGTAATCGATGTAGATCATGCCCTTTGCATCCCAGGAAACAGTCGCCATCACTGTGCCGGCCGAATCTCTTTGCCTTCTTCGGCGGCCCTTCGCCGCATTTGCGCCACTGTTTCGACTGTTTTTGGTTTCCGGTGTGCAATAATGCACCCAGGTTTCATCAACGGTGATAATCGGCAAAAAAAATACTTCGGATCGCGCCGTATCATCGCCAAAAGCGTCTCCGAAGTCGTCACACGTTTTTGATTTGATCGATTGTCAGCAAACGCGGCACCAACTCGAGTGGATAGCTGTTTCATGTCCAAATGATGGTGAATGATGTTGTGTACTCGTTCTTAGGAAATGTTTAGGACCTCTATTAACTCGCGGAGCTTAATTCGACGATCTACCATAATCATGTCATTGACTTTGTTGATTATTTCCGGCGTGGTGACTTCATTTGGCCTCCCGGGAAGTTCATCATCAAAAACATTCGTGCGACCACGAACAAATTCAGCTTACCAAAATTTTACTGTGGCTAACGAAGGTGCAACCTCACCATAAACTTCGTTCAGGTCGGCTTTGATTTGCACACTCGTTTTACACTTTTTGTGGAGGAACTTAATCACGGAACGATACTCGACTTTTTCCATTTCTCTATTTGACGGCTGTCAAAAACCAGACTAATTGTTTTTAAATCTTAAAATTTTGACAGACGTCATGTCATGAATGGCAAATATATACACCGAAACAAATTCGGTATTAAGTATCTAGTTTAATAGAGACTAGTTTAATATCAATCTATCCTAGTACAGGCCAGAGAACTTTTATTTAAAGATCCCTTATTTTGACGTGTAACTTCATTTATATTTATATGGATATTTGATCAAAATTGTTGTATGATGTTCTGTTTTATTTAATGGATATTGTTTTTAGTATTATTATTCTTAATTAGTAAATTTTTCCATAATTATTGTTTTAAGTTATATGGATAAAATTCATATTTAACAACTCTATGTTTTCATCGTTTGCGCCAGTAGCCCTTTTTTCAGTGCGTCACTAATTTTGACGTCATATAGGATTTTAAGAATGTCGAGAATTATTGCATGACATTTTAGTTAAACCTGACAGTTGCAGGATCGTAATCGGCTAAACGTGAAAAGGTTATTTTTTTAATGCATAGCAGTTTGTCATAATTCTATTCTATTCTGTTCTATTTTATACATTCCATGGAAAGTGCTTAATTAGCTAAGATTTGTTTATGGATTTATTATTATTTATTACAAACACTAGGGAATTGGAAGGTTTGTTTATTTAAAATAACGCTTCCTCCTAGAATCTTTTAAGAGTTGACTGCAAGGTAAAAAAAATTACTGACAATTGCAAGGCATCAAAGTAAACATTCCTGCGATAAAATAATATCGATTTAAATCAGTCATATTTGGATAACGAATTTTCTGATAAGTTTGTGTGGCAGCCAATAGTTTCATTTTGTGAAGAGTTGTCATTAAATAGTGGAAATAGTTTAAATAGTGAAGCAGTTGATTTTTGAGTTATTCTACCAGATTTGGTGTGCAAATGAAAGAAGGTTATAAAGTTTAGTTAAAAAAACAATATAAATAGTTTAAATAGTGAAGCAGTTGATTCTTGAGTTAATCTACCAGTTCCGATATCCAGATGAAATCGTGTTAATGGAGTTTAGTTAAAAAACAAGATACAGAATGTAAGTTTACCTTCTTTTTTATGAATAACAAAAATGAATATTATATTTCAAACAATCTATAATCCCATTCAGAATCTGATTCTTGAAAATCAATGATTACACTAGATATGTGGCTGGTATCAATTATATCCTACATTTCAAGAAAATGTCGTGGTTCTAAAAAGAACCGTTTTAATACATATAAATATCCATAAAGGTATTAGTTTAAGTTATTTCCTCAATATCATTCCGGAATTCACAATCTGATTCGCGAGCGACAGAAACTGAAATAAAGATAACTCAGCCTCATTTTTTAATTGAAACTAATTTAATAATTTTAATATTAGTCTTTTTTCATTCTCGGTATATCTCGGAATATTTAAAATATTTTTATGACAATAAATACAGAATTTAATTTTCACTGTAGTTAAAATGTCTGAAAATACTAACCTCGAATGGCAATTATCATTTTATCAGTTGTTATGAAAGTACTGTCACTGTCATTATCAAGATCATCTGTGTCAAATTATATTTATATGCATAATTGATTGGATATCTATTTAGCATATTCTAAACTCCAACCAATTATACGTTCGTAAGTAGAATTCGCTTTAATATGCGAATACCCGTAAACGATACCTAATTTTCTAATTTCTATGTATAATAATAAGCGACTCACGTTTTTTTCTGTCACTTCTAGCTTAATGCGTTAGAGAGAATTCGAACAACTATGACGCACTGAAAAAAGGGTTTGGGACGGACCGTATATCTAATAATAATAAGTCATAAATAGGGTCTTATAGGTTATTTTCATATTATACAAAAAAAATTAATCATTTGTCTTGAACAATCATTTGTCTTGTACAAAGATGTCTTGAACATATTAGCAATAACTCTCTTTTAGACATGAAGTATCTTGTCCTTTATTAAAGGATCCTGTAATAAAGGCGGCTGTCATCTTACGGTTGCAATAACTCTCTAATCACTTTCTGTTTTGTACTTTGTACTTTATACTAAAATGTTTGAAATTTATAACATTTGTTTAAATTAATTACCTAATAATTTGATACTTCATTGTGGTTGTTCTATTTTTGGTAAGATTTGATCGTTCACTAAAAATTTAATAAAAGTGCAACAACATTGTCGCATATGTCGTTTTCATTGGCTATTTATGTAGTTTGAAAATCACTTATTGTATTTTAAAAAATATATATACAGGGTGTAATATTTAATACGAATCCCTAAATTAAATTTTCCCAAGCCAGTCCTGGAATTTTTTAGTTTAGCTAATACCAGTCGAATGCTTGAGAGTAGTGTACTGTATCATGCAAAAATTAAAAAAATCAAATGAGCCGTATAAACATTACAGTAAAATGAAATAAATGGTCAATTACACAAATCACCCTGTTAATTAATAAAGAAGAGGAGTTGACATTTTTTAGTGGCCACATGATATGCTCCCTGAGGGACTCTACATGGTAGAAGTATGTAAAGTTCGTCATGACTCACCCTGTATAAAGACATACTCATATACGCAGAGCAAAATGTATGTCAAAACAAAGAAATAAATTACAGAAATCCTGTTAAATATTGAATTTAATGCAAGCATATTTATTTATATCTTAATGTCTCTATTCATATAACAACGTTATAGGTAGTTTCATTTCAAACAGATGTTTATTTCTAAAGATAAGTAGAAGACATTTTTTAATCTATATTACAGGTATCTACTGCTAAAATATCGTTAATTTTAAACACCTCTTTGTCTATAATTCTCATTTTTTATTAATCATGAGAGCTCGTTTCTGGCAGAAAAATATTTTATGATGTTCATTGTTCATAGTTTGAAAAATAAATTGTTAGATCATATTGATTTAAATATTCTAATAACACTCTTAAAGTATACCATACGTTCGACCTTTTATTTAGTTGCTGTACGTGAGTTTTCCATGAAAATGTTACATCAATAATTTGTCATTCCTAAAAATGTAGTTTTAGTACCAATTTCAATATTTGTATCATCTAACAGAAATGGACATTATTTGAACATTTCACATTTGATTTCATGGTAGGGGCAAATTTACGACAAAGAATTTCCAATGCCAAGAAAGAAAGGGAAACTAATGCTAAAAAATGAAAACAAAGAGAAACAGTTCCAGTCACATATAAAAGAAACCCTAGAACACACCTGGGCCGTCGACCAGTCAAACACAGAAATGTGGAACAACTGCAAGGAGGCTCTGAAATTAGCAGCCGAAAGCACATTGGGAATATCCCGAACCCAAGAAAGAAACGACTGGTTCGATCAAGACTGCAAAAAAGTAGCACATAAGAAGAACGAGGCATTTAGGACCATGCAACAACGAAAAACTAGAACAACAATAAATAGATACAAAAACTTAAGGAGAGAGGAAAAACGCATACACCGAAAAAAGAAACGAGACTCGGAAAATGACATATTAGAATGGCTCGAAAGCCATATGAGTCACGGAGAAACAAGAAAGTTCTATCATCAAATAAATATTATTTGAAAAGAATTCAAACCAAGAATCAACTATTGTAATGATAAGGAAGGTAACTTACTTACCAACAAAGAGGATATCCTTTTACAAAGAGCACTTTCGAGAGTTGCTGGAAGGGGAACCTACTAACAATATAGAGCTGGAATACCAAAGTGAGGAACTCGTGAAACCCCTCTCGGTAAATAAAGTGAAAATATCTATAGAAAAACTAAGGAACCACAAATCCCCAGGTAGGGATGGTATCCCAGCAGAGTTATTTAAGCACGGTGGAAAGCAGCACACAAGAAATTGTTTGTAAAATTTGGTCTGGGAGCAAATGCTTAAAGAATGGAGCTTAGGCCTAATTTGCCCGTTACACAAAAAGAGAAACCAACTGGAATGCAATAATTACCGTGGAATAACTCTCCTAAATACAGCATACAAGATATTGTCAAACATTTTGCAGGAGAGATTAAAGCCTTATACCGAAATGTTTTAGGAGAATATCAGACAGGATTCAGGCGTGGACGTTCAACCATTAACAGATCTTTACACTACGACAGATCCTCGAAAAGCGCAAAAGTTTAACATAGATATGTATCATATTTTTGTCGAATTTAAAGCGGCATATGACAGTGTCTTAAGACCAAGTCTTTACAACGCTATAAATGAGTTAGGAATTCCAAAAAAACTCATATGTTTGATAAAAGTGACAATGGCCAAGATGCTATCAGCAGTAAAAATTCAAAACGACTCGTCAACCTCATTTGAAATACATAGGGGTTTAAGGCAGGGAGATGCGCTGGCGTGTCAGCTTTTTAATGTGTCCTTAGAAAAAGTTGTGCGGAGACGCTAATTTAGATAGCAGGGGAACAATATTTAATAGATCAGTCCAAATTCTAGCATATGCAGACGACGTGGACATTATAACAAGAACCAGGGCGAGAACTGCGGAAATCCTAACCAAGCTAGTAGCATCAGCAGAACGAATGGAGTTACATATAAATCAAAATAAAACCAAATTCATGGCGACTAACACAAACACAAGAGCTGGAAATGTTGACGCAAATTTAATCATCAATGACCAAAACTTCGAAACAGTCAAAGAGTTCATATATCTAGGGACATCATCGGTTAACCCAATAATAACACATCTGAGAAAATAAAAAGGTGAATAATAATTGCAAACAGGTGTTATCAAGGTTTATCAAAGTACTTAGCTAACAAACGTCTGTCTCAAAAAACTCGTATAAGGCTGTATAGAACACTCATAGTCCTCGTTCTCACATATGGATCAGAGGCATGGGCGCAAACTAAAACAGATGAATCCGCTCTATCGATTTTTGAAAGAAAGGTGCTACGCAAGATATTCGGAGCGGTCTGTGAGAACGGAATATGGAGGCGTAGATATAACTATGAACTGCAAAATATCTACAAGCATACGTTTGGTGGTAAAGATATTACCACTATAATTAAGCTAAACCACCTGCAGTGGGCAGGATATTAGCCCAGGCCCCTGAATCGAACATGATAAAAAAGATTCTAACAGTGCAACCCCTGGGAATGAGAAGACGGGATACACCAAAGGTGAGGTGGATGGATGGGGTAATACAAGATGCGGAGAAGATCGGAGTCGACAACTGGAAAATGTAAGCAAGGGATAGAACAGAATGGCGTAGAAAGCTTGAGAAGGTCGAGGCCCTCTAAGTGCTGTAGCACCAAGATGATGATGATGACATTTGATTTAGTTCTTCTATAATTAAACAATTAGTTTTTTGTTTATTAATAATTAATCCCTCACTGAAGACACTTTAGTAAAATTTTTAAATGATTTGCGTCAATAGAACATTCGTATTATCAGCGTAAATCAGCTTTAAAAAAACTGTTTATTTTTAATATTTTCTTTTAGTATTTGGGAGACTGGTACGAACTAGGCAGATATCCAACTTTACTGGAAGATCACGGAAAATGTGTTGTCACCAATATTGCAGTAAACAGCGATGGATCTATAAAGAGTCGTACTCAATATATTAATTCCGTGTAAGTAAATCTATTATATAAGTACTTATATAAAAAAATATACAACAAACAGAAACCTTCGTTAAGCAAAAAACATCTAACCGAATTAAAAAAAATCCGTAAACTAATTTCGAAACCAAATTCAGATTTTTGCTTTAATCTGTGCCTTCTAAGAATTTCAAGGCAAAACAGACGTTGATAAAGATGTTATTAGAGACATGGGGAATCTAAAAATTGCATTCCACAACATATCTCTTCAACTAAGCAAAAATTCTTAGCGAATTGGTTTCTAGTAATCGTACAGACTATATCGGAATAAAAGGAAAAGACAGTCAAGATTTTTATTTCACTTATAGTGCGTCTGTGTATCTGGAAAATTTTGGAGCTAAGAAACATCCCGCATAAAATAATTTCCATTATAAAGTCACTGTACAGTGAGGCGAAATGCGTCGTGATAAACAATGCAATCAACAACGACGAATTTGATATACTTACTGGAGTCAGACAGAGATGCGTGCTTTCTCCGTTTCTTTTAACATAGCAGTTGATTATGTTCTCTCCAAACTAGACTCCGACACAAGAGGGATACAATGGACGTTAACCACACGCCTAAGCGATCTGGAATACGCCGACGATATCTGCCCGTTAGGACAAAGAAGATGTGGCTCATCAATTGGAATCACTTTCCACTGAAGTCAATAAAGTAGGTTTAAAAATCAATATTAGTAAAACCAAATCCATGAGATTAAATGCAATAAAAAAACACGCTATTTACTATCAATAACATGCAGATTGAAAATGTGACAAACTTTTACGTATCTTGGAAGTATCATAACAAAAAGCGGATGTACATTCGTATGACGATATGAAAAACTCAACAAGCATTCAGCATGCTCAACCCTGTTTGGAGATCTGGTGAGTATAATACAAGAACAAAGATCCGCATATTACAGTCAAATGTCATGTCTGTTCTACGCTACGGATGTGAAGCCTGGAAAGTGGCAAAAGCCCTTACAGATAAACTGCAGCTCTTAATAAATAAATGTCTACGATAAATTGTTTTCGGCTAATGGATTAAGTCCACAGTCAGGAAATTCGATGACACACACATACGATGAATTGTTTGCATTTACTGGTCTAACATCATCAGAAAAGAAGATCTACTACACCTGACCGAACAAAAAAGGGTAGAACATCAAATAAAGTCCAGAAAGTGAGGTTGGATTGGTCATACACTCAGAAAAAATAATTCCAGTATTGCAAAGATTGCCCGAGAGTGGAATCCTCAAGGAAGAAGAAAAAGAGGTCGACCAGTACAAACTTAGAGAAGATATCTCGTCCATCCTGGACGAGATAAGAGGTCAAGGAAAGTCTTGGAATGAGGTGAAGGCCTTAGCGCAAAATAGAACCCGATGGCGCGTTTTTACTAAAGCTCTATGCTCTACTTCAAGAAAAAGTTCAAGAACCAAAATTTTAATAATTACCATTAAAGAACTTTTGAATAAATATTTTTTTAAAAGGTACATTGCTGAAATTCCGCGCAAATCTGTAAAAAATAAAAATTCTGTGTATGAATATGTATCATTTCGAGTAACTGACAACGCAGGATTATGCAGAATTAACGTTAGAAGAATCACTTAAGATACCTATTTATACACGTAAGGTATAACGAATTGTGCTTTTGCGCATATATATTGGATTTCAATTCATTAAAGTCATTCCCGTCCTAGCACTCGAACGAGTAAGACGTGGGCCAAGTACAATTAAAATCCAGTTTGCCTTATCGGTAGTAATTAGTGTTTAATTTAGATTTAATAGTGTAATTTCAAAAAGTGATTTTTGGACAAGCTTTGTACGTATTGCTTTTGTTATATTATTAAATCATATAAATTATATTTAATTTATACAAAGTGCATACCAGAGACTGGTTTTACCAGTCTGCTGGTTCTTGGTGGCCATCCAATTCAATGGATTTTAATACAAATTTGGATAGCAAAATTAGTTAAAGAAGGGAAATAAAACGAGGTTACTGTCTGTATTTACATGGACAGTACAAATATAAACAATACTCCTACAGTTTCTACCTTAACAATGGCCCGTCAAACTGCTACAAACAACATTCCAGCAACTACATCTCTTTCATACGTAACCGCTGCAAAAATCTACACCAAAACCATCTTTCCCAAAAAAAGAACAGGCGATAGTTCTTCACGCAGAAGAAAACCTTAAACTTCTAGACTACGTTAAAGCCATTGGTGACATCATCGGACCAAAAAATATTTCCTTTGCATCCAGAATATCTAACAATAGGATCTGCATATATCTAGTGAACTCCAATCTCGTTGATCAACTGCTGAAATCCCATCCAACCGTTCAAATCGGACGCCTTACTTTAAGTATTCGTAAACTTGTCTCCCCAACAAAAAGAATATTAATTTCGAACATCTCTCCTTACATTCCCCATGAACTGGCCGAAAATGCAGTGAAAAGTCTTGGTTTCCAAATAGCCTCCCCCGTGTCCTTTCTTAAAGCGGGCATTCCAGGTGATGAATACTCCCACATACTTAGTTTTCGCCGTCAAGTATATATTTTTCCTCCCTCTGATAATTTTGAGCTTCACACCTCCTTGTTAATTCCTTTTGAAGGCAATGATAATAGAATTTTTCTCTCTACGCACAAAATGGAATATTTCTTATGCAAACAATCAGGACATGTTGCTTCTAATTGTCCCAATACTTCATCTGACAACTTATCACCTGAAAATCCTACTGTTTCTCATGTCCTCCCAAATCCCCCCACCGAATTAACGTCACAGCAACAAAATACACAATTTCCATCTCATTCTGAATCATCTCCCTCCCAAACAAATCTATTTGATTTGTCTTCTTCCCCAGAGAATTGCGAAAATGATACAATATCTGAAAAGTCAGATAAACTATGTTTAAGTTCTCATCTTCACAGAAAAGGCCACGCTCATCTGTATCATCTATAAGCGAGAAGAACCTTCAATCTGGGGAAAACCCTGCAACAGAACAAACTATGTTTCCTTCCAAACAAACAGTTCCTAGTTCCTCTAGCACCTCCAACACAAAAAAGAAACGAAAACGTAGTTCTTCTCTCGACCCCAGTCTATCCACTGACTCCAAGCAAGCAATACACGAAGCCTATAAACAAAACCCAGAAGCTTTTGCAGTTTCTCCTGATAATATAATTGCCTTTATCGAGAACGCTTACGGCAGCTGTGACCCTGTCTCAGAAGCATTTAAATTCACAACAGATATTAAATCACTCATTCTAACTTTGCAATCAATAAACCCTAATTTTAAAGATAGGTCAACAAAAATCAGAATTACACGCTTAATTAAAAAAATTAAAACTAAAATACATTCTGCAACAGATGATTCTGAAAGTATAAACAGTCTTGATAATTCCCAGGATGCTTGTGATAAAGAATACCTGTCTGATAGTTCACAAACCTCGTAAACATCCAAACACTCTACATATTAATTTCAACCTTCACACTGATACAATGGAATTGTGACGGATTTTATCCCCGTCGTCCACGCCTTGAACAGCTCATATCTGAGTCTTCTCCTGACTTTCTATGCCTACAAGAAACAAACTTCACTGATAAATATTCCGGACAACTTAAAAATTTTACAGGTTACCACTATATTCGAACTACCCAACTTCGTGCCAGTGGCGAAGCATCAATTTTTGTTTCCACTGATATTTTCCATAAAGAATTTCCGCTAAACACAAACCTCGAAGCTATAGCCGTTACAGCTTGGTGTCCCTACAAAATTACAATTTGTTGCATATACATCCCTCCAAACTACTGTTTAATAAGTTCCGATCTTGAAGATTTAACTTCTCAGCTTCCTACACCTTTTATCTTAGTTGGTGGCTTTAATGCCCATAATACTATGTGGGGATCCGAAAACACATTTGGAAGAGGTAAAACAATCGAAAATTTTCTAAATAACGTAAATATAAACTTACTAAATTCAGGAAGTAGTACATACTTTCACATCCAATCGGTTAGTTTCTCTTCCATAGATTTATCTTTCTGTAATCCCGGAGTATTTCCTTTACTTTCATGGTACACATTAAACAGTCTCTATGATAGTAATCATTTCCCTATCCTCATCACTGACCAGTCAAAAATGCCCTCAAGAATTATAACAAAATGGAAAATCACTCAAGCAAACTGGGATCTTTTCAGAACCACTGTTAAGGGAAAAACCGATGAATTACTTTTTAACAATGATATAGATACAGATGTAAAACTATTAAATAACTGTTTAACCGAATCTGCTGAGGAATATATTGGTAAATGCGCGATTGATCCTACCAAGAAACCTGTTCCGTGGTGGAATGAGTCGTGCAAAATAGCTGTCAAACAATGCAAAAAAGCATTAAATAAATTCCGGAAGACCCGTACCACCACGGATTTAATAAATTTTAAAAAACTTAGGGCCAACTCTAGGCGTATTTTAAAAGAAAGTAAGAAAGCCTCATGGAATCAATACGTTAGTTCAATCACAAAAGATACTTCTCCCGCGCAAATGTGGTCAAAGATAAGACGTATGAAAGGTTATAATACTTCCAGCAAAATAGCCGCCATCTCCCTGCAGGATCATACAGTTACCGATGATCAACATATTGCAGATATCTTTGCCTCTCACTTTTCAGATAAGTCAAATATTCCGAATCTTCCAATAACTCAGATACCAACATTTCCAGCCCCAAAATATTTTCTAACACCAGCTCTATGAATCTTCCTTTTAATCTCCTAGAATTAAACGAAGCCATATCTTCATTATCGATATCAATTCAGCGATATCAATATATCGCTCCGGATAAGAATGCTTCGATGTTATATTTTCTCTACCCTCTTGTATGGAGTTGAAGCTTGGACACTTAAAAAATCCAACATTAAAAACCTAGAAGCATTCGAAATGTGGTGTTACCGACGCATTTTGAAAATATCATGGATGGATCGCAAAACAAACGAACAAGTTCTCGAACAACTAGGAAAACAATGCGAAGTTTTAAATTCCATAAAGATCAGGAAATTGGAATACTTGGGGCACATCATGAGAGGTGAAAAGTACGAACTACTAAGGAACATAATGCAGGGTAAAATCAAAGGTAAAAGAAGCGTAGGAAGACGTAAAATCTCGTGGCTACGCAATCTCCGTGAGTGGTTTGGATGCAGTTCAATTGAACTATTCAGGCGAGTAACCAATAAAATTATAATTGCCAGAATGATTTCCAATCTCCGATAGGAGTGGAACTTGAAGAAGAAGAAGATATCTTCATTAAAAAACTCAGCAGCCGGTCCTGACGATATCCCATCAATATTTTTAAAAAATCTCCATCCAGACACACATCTCAAACTACTAGAGTTGTATAATAAGATCTGGTCTCAAAACCAGTTCCCAACGTTATGGCGACAAGCAACTACAATTCCTATTAAAAAGAATGACTCATCTCCAAATCTTCTAAAATCATATAGACCAATTTCTCTCACTTGTTCACTATGTAAACTGTTAGAAAAGATGGTCAATAAACGCTTACTATGGTATCTAGAAAGAAATAATATTCTTGACCCATTCCAAACAGGTTTCAGATCAAATCGAAGTACAATGGATAACCTGGTCACATTACATACTGACATTGTTAATGCATTTTCGAATAGAAGCGAAGTCATAGCAGTAACTTTAGATATCCAAAGTGTCTTCGACACTGTACAAAGACCTCTAATTCTAAGAAAATTAACGGAATATAATTTAACTGGTAACATTTATTTATTTTTAAAAAATTTTTTAACAAGTCGATATTTTAGAGTATTAACAAATGGAAAAATATCAAAACCACACGCTTTGGACAACGGTTTGCCTCAGGGCTCAGTCTTAAGCACTACCTTATTTTTACTTAGCATGAATGACTTTTCCTCATATATAGAACCACCAGTCAGGTACTCGATATATGCTGATGATATTATATTATACTGCCGAGGCAGAGGCACAGCTACCACAAGCACTTTGCTACAAAAACACAATAAACAAAATAGACACCTGGTCTACGCGTGCTGGATTTGTGTTTTCAGCTCCTAAATCCAAAGTAATTCACTTTACCAAAAAGCATAGACCTAATCCGCCTTCTATAACTCTAAACGGACTTCGTTTACAAACAGTTAATTATTTGACACTTCTTGGTATCACCTTTGATAATAAGCTTATCTGGAGACAGCATATTCAGAAACTTAAAGGAAACTGTACCCAAAGAATCAATTTACTTAAATCTCTTGCTAGCTTCTCTTGGGGAGCTGACGAAGAATCTCTTCTTAAAATATATAGAGCGTTAATTCGCTCTAAGCTAGATTATGGCAGTATTCTTTATATGACATCTAGTAGCTCCCTACTAAAGTCTCTAAACACGATTCAAAATACATCCCTACGACTATGCCTCGGTGTTTTCAAATCAAGCCCCGCTGAAAGTCTGTGCGTTGAATCTTCAGAGCCACCACTCCATCTAAGAAGGCAGCAGCTTCTACTTTCATACTTTGTAAGAATATCAGCAAACCCAAGTAACCCGGTAATAAATCTAATCAATCCCATAGAACCTCCCCAGTAAACGCTTCCAATCATTCTCTCACATTACCACAAATATTATCTCCTTTATTAGATTCCATCAACCTTTCCAATACTACTTCTATTTATACCCCAAGACAGCTCCATGGATGCACAATCTTCCAATATTCAATACTGATTTATGCAGATTCGACAAAACAGAAACCCAAACTTAATACTTAGAAAATCCTTCCAAAACATCCTTAACTTAACACAATTTGATGAAATTTTATACACCGATGCGTCCAAGAATGAAGACTGTTGTGGCTCCGCTGTGTCCACACTGACGACGACAATAAGCTCTGTGCGATTGCCTAAAAGTTGTAGTATCTATACCGCAGAATTATATGGAATACTCCAAGCATTAAAGACTTCAATCCGTCCTACTTCAAATGAAAGCATAAAAATCGCCATTTGCACTGATTCTCTTTCCTCGATTTATTCAATAAGATGCATTTTCTCGAAAAACCCACTAGTCCAGGAAATCCACACTATCTGTAACCAACTATATTCTGCTAACATAAAAGTCATAATGATCTGGACTCCATCTCATGTTGGTATATTGGGAAACGAAAAAGCAGACCAAGCCGCTAAAGCAGCATGTTCTTCTGACATAGCCTTCCAAGAGGTCCAAATCCATACGGATCTTAAAATATTGATAAAACAAAAAATCCTCAGCTCATGGGCGGACCTGTGGAGTAAAACAAAAACTAAGCTCCATGAAGTTCAGCCCAACTTATCTCGCGTCAATATCTCCTCTATGAACAGGAAAGAAAAATCAGTTATTCACCGACTACGAATAGGGCATACACGCCTCACGCATGGATACCTTATGGCATCAGAAAACCCTCCAGTATGCCACTACTGTAATAACGTCCTTTCCATCAAACACGTGATAGTGGACTGCTGCCAGTATGACTCTTCCAGAAACAAGCACAGCCTAAAAGGAAATCTAAAAGACATTCTCAGTGTTCCAAACCGTTTTGACAGTGTTCTTAGATTTTTAAAAGAAACAAGTTTATTTCAGCTAATATAAACAGTGCATAGTGATAAGCTTTATTGTTCTAACCTTTCTATATAAAAAAAAAATGTTCATATTGAATTCTTGTACCTATACCTATATAAAATATGTATAATGTTGTAAACTACTGTACCCGTGTCAATGACCATAAGCTGTCGAGACACGTTAATTTTAAATAAAAAAAAAAAAAAAAAATTATTAAAGTGGTAGCTTTTGCTGAAATCCAAATATATTCAACTTCAGAATAGATCAAAAGAGAGAAAAGATATTATCAAATCGTTTTCGTTTATGTCCATCATAGTAGGGAACACATTTGTAGCTATTCACTTAAAGTGAGAAATAAGCAGGAGACATTCGATGGCCGATATGTATGTGAATGTGTATCAGCCGAGTCTCTGACGACGCATGGTTATGCAGAAATAACGTTACAAACCTTTACTGAAAAGTTTGGTTTGAAAAAGTGTGCTCGTGGGCCATATATTTTTGGCCTTTCAGTTAAAAGACAGAAAACAATACTATCAAATCGTTTTCGTTTGTGTCCATCAGAGTTGGTGGCACTTGTAGCTATGTAGGTATCCACTTGACGTGAGAAATAAAAAGGACATATTCGCCGACCATTATGTGTTCAATTTGTATCAGCCCGAGTGTCTGACGACGCAAAACTTATGCAGAAATAACATAAATAACAATAAATAATATATAATACTCATTTACGGTTTAAAGATAATTAATAAAAACTGTATAACTCTCAAACAATGCTAGAAACTCTTATTTTGATAACGGATTCGTGATCTCGTGATCTGCGTACAAAATATGTCCACAAACATGTCTTGGTTATCTTCCAGTGAAAAATTTTGTTTCAGTTTTATTTTTGATCTTTTTAGATGTAGTTTAGTCGTGATATGCAAGAGTTGTGAAAAATTAGAAATTTCCATTATTTAAAAAGATTTCTTGTTGGATTCGAAATAAATTCGATCCACAACTTTACTGTACTCAAAATAAAAAATTCACACAGAAAAATTATTACAACAATATAGCCCCTTTATTATCTATTTTCGGCAAACATACTATGTTTAACATCATACACTCAATTATTATTATTGTGGAATTATTATGAGTACTGTTTCATCAGGTATTAATCACGAAATAATGTGTTTTATCGTCATAGTCAGATAATAGCTTATATTACATAACTAAGATCCACAGTACAAAAAAAAACTTCCAAAAATGTGCGCTTCATAGTATACAGAGATTATATGTAAAACGTACTTTGTTAGAGCTATGTGTACAATTCGTTTATAGTTAAAAAATTATTTACTTTTAGGACAAATGAGACACACGTCCTCGAAGGAGAAGCCCAACCAGGTTCAACAACTGGAGAAGGCAAATTTCTTAGTACATTTCTTAAATCCAGGTTAGTATAAGTTTATTTAAATACATTGTACCGAAGAACACGCTTAAAAGAAACTGGTTTGGTTTTTATCTAAAAGAGATCATATCAATCATATTCAATAGTCGAGGATTTGTGGAGGTTGTCATTTGGAAAATAAGGGTATTTATTTTTCATCCTACTAAAGCCATTGTTTTTATTAAAAAGTTTTTTTTTAATTTTCCATTTTTATTTACTTTATAAATATTAATTACCTATTTGGTTTACTTTTTAAAACCTTTTTTATTTAATTTTATATATTGTTTTAAGTGTTAATGTATTTTTTAATTTTTCCAAGGGGGCCGAAAATTGTTATTATCAAATACCAATTTTCCAAATCTCTACGATTAAATTTCTCTTTCCTCTTTTTTCGTGTCTTTCGTCGGTTTTCAGTGGAGTTTTAGCAAATCTGTTGATCCTTAGAGACCCAATACCCAAAATAGTTATTTCAATTGACGAACTGGAAGAAATTATATATATAATATATATATATATATATATTATATATATATATATATTATATTATCAACGTCTCCCATATTTTAGTTATACAACCCTCAATCTATTGTTTATTCTGGATTTCCCATCTTTGGCAATTCCCCAGTTTTTCTATACCAACAAAGTTAGATACAATGATCACTGGTTTATTATCAAATAATTTCGTGCTGATTGTCACTCTTTTCTCTTTTTGTCATGTCTTTGTCGGTTTTCAGTGGAGGTTTAGCAAATCTGTTTACTCTTTGAGACCCAACAGCCAAAATATTTATTTTAATTAAGGAATTGGAAAAGATTATTGTCGTGTTATCGAAGAAGGGTTACAAATAATAATCGTTACTTCACATAAACATCAGTTTATTCTCAACCCTAAAACATACATCCATGCCCGAGCTTCGACTAACTTCACATGCCCTGTCTAACCCCCGTCATCCGTGTTGCCTAACTCAGGCACCTATATCTTAAACTAGGCTAACAACACATCTCCCTTTTTTTATATAAAAGATCCCTGTGTCATTGATGATCTTATACCTGAACTAACTTAAACTACTACAAACATAATCTGTTAAATAAACCGGTTTCTTCACAAGTCATTTTGGCCTGCTAGGCTTTACGCACTCAAAGTCTGATACACTATCAGTGTCACTATCCCTTTTATCCTGACCCGATGGAGGTAAAACATGATTTCCACTTTGTTCGATTTTGTCCGGAAATACACTGGTTTCCCCCCTACTACTTTCCTCCATAATTTTACCCTGTATGTCACCATTGCTTTGATTAGAGTTAGCTTTGTTACTAGAAATTGGCGGAACATAATCATTTGAGGATTCTGGTTGGGTGCTCAATACAGGGAAACAGTAGGATGCATGAATTAAATGTCATCTATTTCTTCTAAATTTCCCAGTTTCAGTTTCAATTATATAGGACCTGGGTTCCTGACAGATCGCAAAAACTTGCCCATATTTCCTGATATCAACCACCCACACAGAATCACCAACCTTAAGAGGATCTAAATCCTTGGCATTGTGTCGCTTATTGTAGTTTTTCACTTGTTTATCCTTTATTTCGTTCTTTTTATTTTCAGTGTTTGGTTCTTTTGAAAAGTTTAATAAGCTTAGAAGCTGGGGCAAGTTAGATCTTAATTTTCTATTCATTAATAATTCAGAAGGTGAAACACCACATTCTAGGGGTGTACATCTGTATGCTAACAATACCAAACTTAGGTCCTCTTTTCTATTTTTCTGAATTAATCTTTTTGCAATTTGTACAGTGCGTTCCACTCCACCGTTGCTCTGTGGCCAGTGTGGACTGCTCGTCTTATGAACAAAATTATATTCTTTTGAAAACTTTATAAATTTTGATGAAAATTGAGTACCACAGTCGGATTTAACTTCCTCTGGGATACCATAACGAGAGAAAATATCTTTAAGTTTAGGAATAATGGCTTCTTCTGTCATATTGGTTAAAGTAAAAATTTCAAACCAATGTGAAAAGTAGTCAGTGGCAATCAAGTACCACTTATCATAATATTTAAACAAATCAACCCCCAGTTTTTGCCACGGCCTTTGTACAGTATTGTCTTTATGAAATGTTTCTCTATGATTTACTCTGTGTTCAACACATTGGGGACAATGTGTCTCAAGGTTATTAATCTGGGATGACAAACCCAGCCACCAAACGCTCTGTTTGGCACGATCTCGACATTTTACAATTCCCATATGGCCTGTATGAATAAATTCCAACACCTTGATTTGAAGACTCTTAGGAATAATTATGCGAGACCCTTTTAAAAGTAATTGTTCCGAATAGGAAATTTCATATCTATATTGACAGTATGGCAACAATTCAAATGGCAATTTAGATCTTTCAGGCCAAGAAGACAAAGAATATTCTTTTAGTTTTTTACAAATATATTCATTTTCTTGTTATGTTTTTATTAAATTCAGAAAATAATCTTTAATTGGTAAATTATGAATAATTGACTGCACATATGCTGCAGTTTCTGCAGTTAGTTCTTTATTAGCTAACGTATCTGTTTGCAAAGAGGCCCGACTTAAAGTATCTGCTACAATTAAATTTTTTCCCGGTGTGTAGATTACAGTATACTTGTATCGCATTAAGCGCATTCGAAATCTTTGCAAACGTGGCGTTAACTCATCTAAATTTTTAGTTTGCAGAATTTGTAGTAAAGGTTTATGGTCTGTTTCAAAATTAGGTTAGGAACTCCTGAAATAAAATCGTAAAAATATTCTGCTGCCCAGGTAAGTGCAAGAGCTTCTTTCTCAATCTGAGCATATCGTGTTTCAGCTGAGTTCAGAAGCCTAGATGTAAAAGCCACTATTTCCCGAGTATGATCTAGATTTTCTTGAAATAGACATGCACCTATACCAAAAACAACTTGAGTCTGCAGTAACAATTATTGTTTTATTAGCATAAAAAACGCTAGATTTGGAGTCTCTCTAACTTTTGTTTTAAAGTGCTGAAAACTTTATCTTGTGCTGGACCCCACAAAAAGTTAATATTTTTTTAGTAAGTGTGTTAATGGTTTAAGAATCTCAGATTTATTATGAATGTATTTTGCAGCAAAATTATTCATACCCAGCCATCTTGACAGCTCGGTCTTATTTTTTGGTTCAGGAAAATCACGGATAGCTTTACCCCATCTGGATCAATTAATATCCCTCGCTCAGAGACCATATGACCCAAGTATTTAGCTCTTTTTGTTGCTATAGAGCATTTGTTTTGATTTAGTGTAATACCTTCCTTATGAAGTTTTGTTAGGACTGTGTTCAAAATATTGTCATGTTCCTCTATTGTCCTTGCATGAATAAGAATGTCATCTATATGGACAACACATCCTTCAATGCCAGTTAAGATTGTTGAAAAATCTCATAGTAAAATACTCTGGGGCACAAGATATACCAAATGGAAGCCTTTTAAAGAAAAATCTGCCATAAAAGTTGTTAACAACTGACTTTCCTTATTCAATTTTATTTGGTAAAACCCACTTGTGGTATTTAATTTTGAAAAGAATTTAGACCCTTTCAACTGTGCTAGTGTATGAGATATTTTCCCGAGAGGAAAATGTAACCATAACACGTTTTCATTAAGTTTAGTATAATCACCACAAAGCCGTACACAATCTCCCTTGTCCACACAAACAATTGGGCTGTCCCAAAAAGTAAGATCTTCAATTATCCCTAATTTTAGCAATCTATTAATTCCAATTCTTAATTTTGGAAACAGAGGTAAAGGAACAGTTCTGGGAACGCTCTGTACATAAGGTTTAGCATCTGGCTTAATTCTAATTGACATTTCTATTTTAAATTCACCTATATCACTAAAAATACCATGAAATGTTTTATCAACAGACTCTAAATTAAATTTTGAAAACATATTAGTACTCTTAGATTGATTACAATGAACAACACTGCAACTGATTTGATTTACCTGTTTAAGCTTACATTTAGAAAAATTTAGAACATTAAACCTAATGATTGACTCTCTGCTTCATATAGGTTGTCTCAACTTCCTAATACAATATATTGGTTCATCATTTGTAAAACCGTCATAAGTAAATTTTATATGTAGCTTACCCACCGTGGTCCAATTTATGATCGTCCGCTGCACCAATTGCATCACATGCCACAATTTTACCCATATATTCTGGAGGTAATTTTTCATAGGGAAAACAGTTAACATCTGCTCCTGTATCCACAAAAAAGGTACCTTAAATTTATCATCCAATAAGATGTCTACATACCAACGATCCTTCTTGTCTAGGTACACTTATTCTGTATGTACCACTTGATTTACTGAATCCCTTCCTCGTCGTCTGTACTACTGCTACTGGTGGACTTTGAACACTTAACAGCTCTGACAGCTTTCTTCCTGCACATCACACTCCAATGACCTCTACGTGAACAAGATCTGCATTCAGAGAACTTGGCTGGACATTTCTCCCTATTTTTACATGTAGGTATGCCACACTATCCACATCTGTAACCTTCTTTAACCTTCTCATGAGTTGTTTCTTGTTTAGAAAAACTCTTACCTTGATGTCTTTTATCACTACGCTCCCAGTAGGCCTGTTTAACTGCACTAACTGACTGCTCCTGTCTCATAATTCTATTTTGACTATCTTGAAGAACAGCTTGGCGTGCTATTTGTATTGCCTTCTCTAGTGTCAAACCATCATTTAGATGCATTCTGTCGCTCACAAAGCAAACAAAGCACCAGCTTCCACCATGTCGTGTTATCGAAGAGGGGTTACAAATAATAATCGTTACTTCACATAAACATCAGTTTATTCTCAATCCTAAAACATACATCCATGCCCGAGCTTCGGCTAACTTCACATACCCTGTCTAACCCCCGTCATCCGTGTTGCCTAACTCCGGCACCTATATCTTAAACTAGGCTAACAACACAATTATATATATATTAAAATAATTATGGTATTATTAAGTACAGTCCACGTTTTTCTTTTCTGCGCCAAACTTACTATATGCTCACTAATCTCAATAGTCGCTCCTTAGTACATTATAAAGTCATACACTAAACTAAACCGCTTTATCCAGGAAGAATAAATATTTTTAATCATGTAACAATTTGTACCATGAAGTATGTACATTTTTTCATTCTAGAGTACGTCGATGTTTACAAAAATATATAAAATTTACAAGAACGCTAAGTGTATTTTTAAATAAAAAAAAACATATCATAAAGAAAGTATAAGATTTAATTTCGACTGCAGAGTATTTGCAAGAAGCTTATACGTATTTCAACCTCATTGGGTCTCATCAGAACGACTTATGCAGTTGCTTTGAATCGAAACAAAATGTCTCCTGTGATAGACCAATAATTATAAAAATAATTATCTTCTATTCTTGTCCGAGGTATATTTGTATTAACCTGTTTCTTTATGTTTCTAAATTGAATAAAGTGCTGGCTTTGCTTTTTTTGTTTCAAAAAACAATTATGATGAAAAATATATAATTTCTTATTGTTATTCGATTTTTATAACCGGGGCTACTGCTATACATTAATCAATAACTTACTCTGTTATTTTCCAAACTCCATTAATCTTAACAGTAAAAATATATTACATAATTTTAAACACTTTGAATATACACCAACACTTCAAAACACTTAACTCTGAGTTAACGGACACTGTGAAGTAATTCGAAACCAAAATAGTGAATACAATGGCATAAAACACATATGAGATATTAGAAGTTATGAACAATTTTAACTTAAAAGATTTATTTTTATTATCAGGACTATTTAGGATTCTTATTTAGCCACTTAAAAACACAAAAATGTATCTGAAATAAACGAAGGGTTGAACTGTGTTTTCATATACACCCAAGTTTTTATAATTACACCCATATGTGATTTATAATTATTATTTGACTTATTTTCAGATGTAACTGTACCTTTTTGGGTTCTTGGTACAGACTATGAAGGATACTCTGTAGGTTTCTCCTGTTTTGAACGAGATAGTGTTACTTTAGGTACGTACCATTTTTCGTTTTACCTATAATCTATATCATTATATTTAACTCATATTAAATTAAAATCATTGTCTCCCATTAAAAGCTCATAAAAAGTAATAGATAATAACTTACATAAAATAGTGTATCATTAATATTTTTGTATTTTGAACAATGATTTACGCAAAAGTTAATAAAAACTTTAATGGAGGAGAATGAATACAGTTAGATACGGGGAAACAAGCTGAATTTGGATGTCCGAATAAATCATCACATCATAATATAAATAGTAGTTTGATTTTTTGATTTTTGTTCCAGAGAGTCTTTTCCTTACAACAAGAACTCCAAATCCATCACGAGATCAGGTAGATGCCATTATCCAAGTTCTCGAAGACAACGGTATCGATCTATTGCCAATAATCTTAACAGACCAAGAAGATTGTACTTATTAGGTTTAAAATATTAAAATTATTATTATAAAAATTATAATATATTAGATATCTGATTTTTATTTTAAGTATATTTTAATTAAGGTATTCATTTAAAAGGCACTTGAGAGACAACCATAATGGAATAAAAATCAACGGGGAACTACTTAATGTGATTAGATGACGATACAGTAATTCTGTCAGATAATATTGAAGGTCTGCAAATTCTGCTTGATCGTATTCACGAGGTAGGAGAAGAAATGGGTATTAAAATAAACTCAAACAAAAAACCAAATTTTTAGTGTTTAGTCATGACCCACATCCCGATGCAAAGCTTCAATTAAACGAAGTCCAAGTTGAGAAAGTTCACAAAATGACATATTTGGGAACTGTGATAACGGACTAACTAGATCCAGACATAGAAATAAAACGTAGAATAGCAATGACCAAAACTACTTTTATTATAATGAAGTCATTTCTTTGCAATAATCATCTCAGTTTAGAACTAAGACAAAGAATGGTTAAGTGCTATGTTTGGTCTGTACTTTTGTATAGTGCAGAAGTGTGGACGCTAAAAGTATGGATCATAAACAAAATTACAGCACTGGAAATGTGGGTTCATAGACAAATGCTGAAAATACCTTGGACAGCAAGGAAAACTAATAAAAATACTAAAGACTGTTAAACATCTAAAAATGGTCGATATAAAATATTACAACTGATCCTTAAAGGCAAAATAGAGGGCCGTAGAGGTGTAGGAACATAAGAAGTTTCTTAAGTGCAGAAATACTACACGAAACGTTTTCTATTAAAAGATTGAAATAGTTTTTTCATTTTTTATTTCTCCTTCACCGATATCCTCATTTACAGTGAGATTTTAATCCCACTCACATTGTGTGTATATATATATATATATATATATATATATATATATATATATATTATATATATATATATATATATTGTAGTACCGTATTATATTTAATATAAAATTTTGAATAAAAGTGTTTCTTGTGTTTAGGTTCAATTAAATATATATTACATGGGGAACTAGATTTTATTTTCCATAGCAATTAAGGTTTCGGCAGGAAACCTTTGCCTTTGTCAAGATTCTAAAATGTACATGTATAAGAACAAACAGATATTGTAAAATATACCTATATATATATATATATACCTATATATATTATATATTATATATATATAATATATATATATATATATATATATATATATATATTTGTTGCGATTTGCTTATAATTGTAAACAAATCAAAAGCAAAGAATATCTCAGGGCTAAAAAATAATTTTTATTTATTTATTTTTTTTTTTATAAACGTGACTTCAAAGTATCTTCTGCTAGTTCTATTTAAAAAAGATCAACAAAAAAAAATAATAGACAATCAATTCTGATATTAAAACAATTGTCCTTTATTTTAACATATATCCAATTAATTTAAATTTCCATTGAGGATAAATGTTACACCATACACTATAAATAGAATAACAAATAATCAATCATCCATCAAATCACACATCCCTTAATGCTCAATAAAATTAAATACACATATTTCTAAACTATTAATATAAAAATTTTAGAAATAATTATTGGTTCCTTGACTTCTTCCTGGATCCTACCAATTTCTCTGCTTTCTATTTCGCCTACTGTTTCTTTTGATAATAAAAGAAATAAGACCAACAAGCACTATACTGTGCCAACAGTATGTGAAAATGTCGTGATATTGTTACCACAAGTTTCAAACTCCAATACAAACAAACTGCTTCCTTTCAGACACAACGAAAATATATCTGTTTGTACTTACATCTGTTTGTGTTTAAAATCGTCTTTATTTACCACAATGGCTGCTTAATTTTTTTACACAAACACTAACCACTACTTCTTATAAATTCTGATAAATTCTCCAAAAAACTTCCAGCAATTCTAATTTTTTTTTAAAAAGCCCGAGGTGACATTGACATTTCTCATAAAATGTCATAATTAAATTGTCTTTTTATTGGAGAAAAACTTCATAGCTCACTTATTTACATATTCGGAACCCACTCACGTTGTTCTCGATAAATTGTTTATGATTTTATAACTAAACATGATTTAACAACTAAACTATTTCTATATACAGGGTGTTCTCGATTTTTCTTTAATGGTCTTTTAATTTTTAATTTTATTTAAAATTTGAGGATCTTATTAACTCCCCGCCTGGTGAAAAGATGAAAATTTCCCGCATATGCAACAAATTTTCTCGCGTCAACACTTAACTTCAAACTAATGAGATTACCCAAATTCCTTAAATCAAAAATTTTATTTCTACTTAAAAAAACACCTTTTCTTTTTCTATTCATGATATTTGTATACATCGTGAATATTGAAAATTCCTCTGATTCTTTCAGAGTCCATGTATCTCAGGACATAACTATTTACACCGTTTTCATTATTTACGATATATGGACCTTCAAACACCGGCATTAGCTTAGCACAAACATTGTTGGTGATGTTGGATACTCTCAGAGCTCTCACCAGCACCTTTTCGCCAACCTGAAAAGTGACAGGCCTTCTTTTCCTGTTACGGTCCTGTCTTTGGACGTATTTCTCATTACTTCTTTGCAGTCTTCTCCGCACCAATTCCAAAACTTGTTGATATTCTCGGATGTTTGTATCTTCCCACGGCCTCTCTGGCATTATTCCTTTCATAACATATTCCGGGGTTTCTTTTGTCACCGTGCTCGGGATCGTATTTAAATATTTTTTCTATTTCTGTTATTTTTCTGTCCCATCGATTATGTTGTCCATCTGTAGCAATACGAAGAAATTTTGTTACCTCTTGGATAAATCTTTCCGACGGATTGCTCTGAGGGTGACGAATGCTGACAAAATTTGTCTCTATTCCTCTTTCCCTCAGCTGTCCTTTGAAACGATCGTTTCCAAAATACGTCGCGTTGTCCAATACAATCCTCCTTGGCGTTCCTACGGAATCTATGAAATCGTCGATTTTTCTCAATATTTCAAATCCTTTTGTCGTGCGACAACTATACAATTTCACATATTTTGAAAATACATCTACCATTACAGGATGTGTTTATTTCGTTGATTTGTTATGATTAAATCACTTAACATATCCATTGCTACGATGTCCAATTTGTTTCGGGATACGATGTTTTTGCGACATTTTCATTTTTATAATTCTTACTTTTATATCTTTGACATTTACTGCACTTTTGGGTCATCTTCTTAGCTATACAATAATCTTGTCGACAAATATAATTTTCACGGAAAACTAACCATACTTTCCGGGCTCCAATATGTCCGTTATTTACATGTAAGTTTTCCATCAGTTTCTCGGCCAGTGTTGGTGTCACCAAATATAATTCTTTTCCTTCAATTCTTTTAAAGAAAATATCGTCTTCTCTTTCTTCTCTTCTTTTTTCCTTTTCCTCCAAACCTCCTTGATTCCTTCTTATTTCATTGATCGAGAAAATACCGTCTTCTTGTGCCAATCGGTTTAAACCTACCTGCAATTCAATCGTATCCTTTTTTCCTGTTTCTTCATCTCGGGTTAAAGCATCGGCTATGATGTTGTCCTTTCCTCGGATGTACTTGAATTCAAAATCGTACTCTTGTAGTAACAAAATTCCTCGATGTATCCTATTATTTACTAATCGATTCTTCATGATGTGGACTAAAGCGGCATGATCCGTCTAGATTGTAAATTTCGCTCCCAATAGGTAGTATCGTAGCTTCTCAACACAAAATAGTACACTCGCGAATTCGCGTTCAGTAACGCTATATTTTCTTTCATGTGTTTTCGTTACTCGAGAAATAAAACATATCGGGACTTCCTGTTCATTCTGTATTTGTGATAAAACCCCAGCAAATTTTTGAATTGAAGCATCGGTTCTCAGAATAAATGGTTGGTGGTAAATAGGATGATACACCTTGATTTCTTTTGAGAACTCTTCTTTTAATCTTGCGAAAGCTTTTTCTTGTTCTTCCTTCCAATTCCATCTAATTCCTTTTTTTAATAATTTAATTAGCGGTATTTGTTTCTCGCTTATGTCTGGGATTAGTTTTTTAAAGTAATTCACCATTCCGAGAAAACCTCTCAAAGTTTTCAAATTTTTCGGTCTCGGATAATCATTTATTAAATTTACACGGTCTTCCGCTAGAGTAATTCCGCTCGTGTTCAGTTTAAACCCCAAATACACTACTTCCTTTTGGAAGAATTGGCATTTTTCTATGTTTAATTTCAAACCAGCCTGATCCAAATCTTCCAGCACCAATTTAATGTGTTTCAAATGACTTTGCGTATCCGGAGAAAAAATCAATAAATCGTCTATATAGTGGACAATAAAATCTTCATGACGGTTGAGAATAGTGTGCAAAGCTCTCACCAGTGCTGCGCATGCACTTTGCAATCCAAAAGGAACTACCTTAAAACGATATACTATCCCATCAATTGAAAAAACTGTATAATTTCGGCATTTTTCTGCTAATGGAATCAACCAAAAACTATGTTTTAAATCTATCTTGGAAAAAATATGTGACCCAGTTATTCTTCCAAAAATAGCCTCAATATTTAATGGTGATTCATATTGGGATACTGTATGCTGGTTGATGTTTCTCGCATCTAAACATAGCCTTAAATCTCCACTGTTTTCTTCACTATCACTATTGGATTGACATAGGGTGAATCACATTTCTCTATAATCTGATCTTTCAACATTTTCTCGATTTCTCTTTTCACGTCTTGTCGATATTTATACGGGATGGGGTATGTTTTTGAACGAAAATTTATCAAATTCTTCACCTCAAATATATGCTCGTAATTTCTGGTCACTCTATTTTCTTCGTTTATTAAATTTTCGTAGTTTTTTAACATTAATCGCATCTCCTTTTCTTTTCCTTCTCCACAAATTAGCTCTCTTTTGTTCTCCGTATCTTGTTTACACATATTTACCGCGTATTCGCTGTCATCGTTTGCATACACTTCTTCTTCAAATACCGTTGTTTCT